TTTACAATACATTTGGGTGAATACAAAAAATAGAAAAAAAATTCGGGAAAATAAAAGTGCAATCATTGTAAATTTTAATATTTTATAAAATGTGGCTGATTGTTGATTATACAATGGATTTACAATCATACAATATTTTTATTTCTGTGATAGAAAATACATTTTTAACAGAACATAAGAACAAAATATTCACGTTTCTAGACTTGTGGTAACATAATAATATAGATTGTATTGTTAACTATCACACGTACAAATCTAGTGTTGAATTAACAACAAAACACTTATTAAGGGTTAATTAATTTTAGGTTAAAATTTAAAAAAAAAATACCTAATTAAATACTATTTATATTATTTAAAATATGTATCTATAAATAAATGTAAATATATTATGTATAATATATTTTTTTGGGCTTTTTTTCCGTGGCCATTTTTTCCGCGATTCCGTTACCAATGAATTGTAAACATCCTAAAATATTTCATTTTGTTTTTCTCAACCTTTATTTTTCTGTGTAACAAACTAACAACTGTAAAATAATAACAGTAATAACCCAAGATGTTGAAACCTTTACTCTAAATAATCATAATTCAAATAATAATAATAGTAATAAAAATAATGTTGACTTTTAAAATATGTTTAATAAATATTTGAAATAATAATCACAATAATTACATTAATATTTATTCGAAGTAAAAATACTCTTTTAATTTCATCAATCAGAGGTGACTATTTAATATTCGCTGATAAGTTTTGATCTCAAACAATCCTCCAGAGTCCAGAGACATAAAATTAAATATACCAGTAGCCAGTAGGCATGTTTGTTTATCACTCACTAGTGGATAAAAGTGGAACTTTTTTAAAACTTTAAATAGTATGATCTAAACCGCAGTCGTTTTAAAACATTTATTCTTGAGCTTAATCTCCATGCAAACTGTAAAGTTTTTTTTTTTTGAAAATTCACGTTATTGTTATTATGCGAGTCTGTGCAAATAAAATCAATGGCGGTGACGAATTAATATGTATACCTTTAACAGGGGTGTTTCCATAGGGTATATATTATATACTACAACTATACGCCGTATAGGTATTTCAAGATTTTTTTTCAATATTTGTAAAGATTTACGAAATATACGTAATATAAAAAGGATGTATAAGTTATTTGGTATACAATTTACCGCTCTTTACTTCTATAAACCATAAGAAAAATATTTTTATTGTATTAAATGTTTATATTTGATGATAAAGTATACTATCAAAAAAATTAATGGGAACACCTCTGTGTGTTAATTCCTCGGTTTCCAGAGTTTGACAAGAATCACCTAGATCGAGTGTTACAAAGCATTTGCTAATGGAATCCTGCAATATGGGCCATGGAGGGTTCCTGCAGCTTAACATATTTTATTTGATCGGTCATAATGTTCAGTGTTCGAGTTAAAAAACACAACAAAAGCACAATTTCTAAGTATTAGCAATTAGCATCCTACCTAAGTAGCATTTTTAGCATTTAGCGTCGGTTTCTTTTAAACGTGTAATTCAACGGTTTAAAACGCGGTGTGTAGTCTGTCTTGTGTGAACCATGTTCTGTTGAATTTTTTGAACTTAAAATTAAATTATGGTTCATATTCGGTATTTCCAGACATTGAACGGTTCTGAAATGCGTTGATGCAAATTAAAGTTTAGGTGAACATGTTTTAATATCGTGGGTTAGTTTACACTGTTTACAGTGTGGTTTACGGTTTACAGCTTAGAGCTAGATCATCTTATGATCAAAGGTTTACAATTTCTCTGAATGATCACACTAGAACACATCATAATAAACAGCTTAAAGAACCATTGAGGTTCAACGCTGCCATCACAATAATTTACAAACATATTCCATTCTTCCCAATAGTACGCCATGTTTATCTGAGCCCTTTCTTGAATTATTCTTAAATCCTTCACGACTGAATCCCTACATCTAGTTATGGACAATGGACCTGCCCATAGGTCTTTTTTTACCTCTCATTTCAACCACCAGTGCTTGTTTGATGATTCGGCCATCCGCCCTCCATACGTCATGTCCTAACCAGTAACCATTAAAGTATTTCGCTTCTTGTATATGAAAGAATATTTGGTCTTCCGTATAGTTCTTGTAATTCGTTAATTTTTTCAAATTGTTCTGTTTCCCTTTTATTATATAGAGGTCCATAATTTTTTTCAATATTTTACCCATTAATATGTTCACACCAGAACATGGTTATTTAAAATAGACAAATAGTAGTAACTAGTAGTTATCGGTGGATGAATAGCGTGCTTGGCAACTTTGCAATTACATTACAACTTACGACTTTACGAGTATTATGTAATATACAACTTACAAGTAACTGGTATCAACCATTAGCTTATCAGTGGTATAGGATAGGACGTCGTATAACAAAATGTGATAATCTTATTATCCATGTATGTTGATAACTGATAATTATAATAATTATAGTATTATCATTTGACATTTATCAATAATTCAATGAGTTCACTGTTCAGTAGAATCGGAGAATTCTACCCATTTTTTTTTGCGATTAATTTTAAATTTAAGACGATTGTTACACTTAAAATAAAATAAAAATCCATCATTTTTTGTTTTATAAATGTGTTCAAAGTCCAAGGTATCCATCAAAATTCATTTGTATTTAATTTTTGTACTCTAAAGTGCTTTATATTTTATGTACTGTTTGCTTAGGACAATGAACAATGTCGATTCAGTTGGTCCTCCAGATCCAGTATCAAATTTGAGACCAATTAAATATCATATACCAAAAAACGAGTCTCGAGTTGAACGGGAATTGCGGCTTAAGCGAATCGAAGTGGCAAAATGGAATCATGAATTTTGGACTAACCATAACCTTAGATTTCTAAAAGAGAGAGAAGCGTACAAAAAATGTTTATCCGACAAGGGTATTTCTACAGCCACAGCCGATCAAATGTCTGAATTTTATAAAGATTTCTTAGACAGAAATTGGAAAACACATGTAACTTATAACTTTGAATGGTATAAAAAAAATATAACAATTGTACGTTTAATGATGAATAAAAATATGTTCAAAGCAATTCAGTGGATTAAAATATTTAAATTTTAACTTTAAATTAGAATGCGTCTTATAAAATCATTTGTAAGTCAAGTGCTTAAGTTTGCTTAATAAATTATTTTACTTATGCAATAACTGTATTCATTAATTTGTTATTATAGGGCATAAATCGCTATTCTACTTTCATACATTATATTCTTTTTGTGTTATTATTATATAACATTTACCTCTCACTTACACTACTTAAAGCAAGTTCCTTATCAAAAACGGAGTGTGGTAATGAGAAATCAAATGCATCATATTTTCAACTTAAACTGTCTAACGGCAGATGGGACAGTAGACGTATGGTTAAGACGTTTGACAATGTAGTAATAGCAGAACAAAAATCAAGCGGCATGGTATGTTTAGCCACACAATGCTCAGTAGATAGATTACATTCTATTGTAGAACTAGCAAAAAATTGGAATGGATCAATATCGACTGCAATTTATGTAGCTGGTGAAGAATTATATTATTTACAAGGTAGGTTTATTTTACACGGATGGACGACTGAACTAAATCATTAACAACTACTTAATTATAGATTATGTAAGATTTCTACGGCGATGTTATCGATCAGTTCGTCAAACCGTTACTTTTCATCTTGCGCTACCTGCAAATCAATTTCCACAATCCACTCAATCAGGTTTTACAACAGATCAGTTACCATGCCACAAGGATCCAGTTATTGTTTTATCAAATTTGATGAATCAATTACCAGAAAATCTTAAACGATGGAGAACTCGCATGCCTTACCCTCAAAATCATCTGAGAAATCTAGCTCGTTTAAATTGTCAAACTCATTACGCATTGGTCACAGATATTGATATTATTCCTAGTACTGATTCAGCAATATTGCTCGATACATTTTTGTCTGAAAGACCAAAATGTTTAAAATGTGTATATGTTTTGCCCACATATGAAGTTCATAGATCGGCAAACTCACCAAAAAATGTTACTGAATTAATAAAATTAAAATCTACTGGGCTTGCAAGATACTTCCACATGGAAGTCTTTAAATTAAACCAGATGCCTACTAATTTTCTTATGTATGTATCTAATATTGATTGACTACAAATTAAATAAATGATATTGATTTAATCAATTTCATATTATATTCTATCATTTAGCTAACCTAAGTAGTTACTACTTATTTGTATATAATATTAAGTTCTCAATCCTGTAGAGACCTATTTTAAACTCCAATTATATATTGTATCATAATCAACATACTCAGATTTAGTAATTATTAATAAAATAAAGAAATAGTTCATTAATTTTTCATACTCTTCTTTAACAATATTATGTCTTGTATTATTTATTAGAACAGTATGTACTATGTGTTATACATGCCTTACTAATATTTAGTAAAAAAATATATATATATTAATAACTTTGGGTAATAATTATACTTAATTTTTAGGTTTGAAAAAAGTTCAAAAAAATATAACGGTTTACACATCAGTCATAAGGTACCCAAATATCAATTGTATTATGAACCATTTTATGTGTCATTAAACAACGTACCGAGTTATGATGAAAGGTTCATTGGTTATGGTTACACCAGGAATTCTCAGGTTTGCTATCCTCTTTTAAAGACGTAATTTTTTTATAAAATTGTATTATCATCAAATTTGATATTTTCAGGTGTATGAAATGTTTGCAGCTAAATATCAGTTTGAAGTACTTGCTAATATTTTCACGTTCCAACATAGTTTTGCCTCACAAAAAGAAAAATCTCATTATCGAGAAATTCAGTATGCAGAAAATCTAGCATTATTCAATAAATTTAAAAAAGAAATAGCTGCACGATATTTACTAAGCCATTATCTATGAATTAAAAAATTATTTTGTAACATAACTAATTTTATTCASAATATTTTTGAAATTTATATGAATTTGTCATTAGAATTTTAATTAGTTTAAAGATAATTTAAATTCAAACTATTTTTTTTAAATTACGATACTTAAACTTTTGCTTTGATTCTGTTGTAAAATTATAATATAAATATATCTAAGTCATGTTTCAAAATTTAAACTTAAATATCTTATATTTTAATCATATTAAAAATATAGATTGTTTATAGCACAATTAGATTTTTTTTTAAATAAATAAAACCAATGTTTACGTAAATAATGAGATTTATATATTATAATATAATATGAATTTTTGGAGACCGATAACAATACTAAATCCATTAGTATTTATTTTATATGGTATTGCACAAACACTTAATACACGTAACAAAATTGAAAATAAATTAATCCTTAAATAAAAAAAAAATATGCATTCATTAAGTGTGCATTATTGTTTATAAAACAGTACACTTAAAAATAAAAACTAATAAAATGTATACAGCATTTTTATTATTTGAAAAAATCGTATAAAACTCAGGTAACGTCTAAGTATTTATGTACAACATTCACGCAACTGGTTTGCAACTATGGTTTATAATTTATAAATAATAATAATTAAAAAATCTAGGAAAACAATAATTGTTCGCTTAAAAGTAACACTATTAAATGCATACTGATATACTTATTTAATATAAATATTGTTTTTGTTTTTTTTTTTTATTGTTTTTTTTTCAAACTTAATACTAAATTCACTCTAAAAACATCTTTTATTTATACAATATTTACATGACAATCTTATTCAAAAACTATTATTTTTTTTTTAACAATATTTCAAAATTATTTTTTTGTAACAGAAGTTTTTGTAGAAGAACACTATCAGTCCAATTTAAAACTTGTCACTTTAAGTACTGTTGATTTCTTGTTATATTGGAAGACAGTATGTCGATAGTCAATTGGTAGATGAAAATAATAAAAACTATTCTGTATGTACAAGTAAAATGTACACTATTGACATTAAACTAAATGTTTGAGTACAACCACAATTTTGATTGATATGTACAAAAATTACAAAGTTAACAAGTTAATCTTCAGAGTGTGGTCAGCTAGAATGACACAAATCAAATAAAAGCTGTGAAATTGTTCTTGATGATTCAACATTACTCAGTGCTATATTTGACAAGTGTGCTTCATATCGTTTTAAATGCCTAAAAATAACAATGCAAAAAATTAGAGATACCATGGGCATAAATTTAAGTTAATTTAATTTAATTTTTACAAACCATCTTCCAGTCGAAGAATAAATGACTAGGTTTCTCAAAATAAGTGCTGACGTTAGACGTATGCTCTTGGTTACTGGACCTTCATTATCATCCTACACAAAATAAACAATTTTATAAATGAGACTTAATAATTAATTATAGTTCATTAAAATTCATTATAAAGTAGAAGAAAGCTAAGTCAAATGTTTAATAATATTTTTAACTACATTTAGCAGTGATAAAAAATATTTTAATTCTTTATAATATAAGGCTAAAAAATTTATTTTTAGTTAAGTATAGTCACTGTTGAAACAATTATCTTGAATTAAAAAAATTCACCATCTTAGTTCATTTCAATTTCTGGATATTTTTAAAATATAATAGGTGAATAATATTATATAAGTAGATGCTTTTTATTATGCATAGCATTTCTTAATAATTTTTTTCATTTAAAACTATATTTCGAAAGACGAATTCTATTTCATTTGTATAAATTAGAAATTCTAAACTAATAAATAAGGTCTAAAATAGGTTTCAACTAAATCTCAAACTAAATCAGCAATAAAAATTAAAAAGTTTGGTTAATATGGACAATTTCGTAGAGTAAAATAATGATTTTTTTTTCAATATGATAATAAATTAATTTAAATCAAACAAAAAAATGTTTGTTAATACTGTAAATTGTAGAAATGTTTTTATTTTATTTTATAATGTATTCAAATTATTGTACTTATGGAAAATGTTGGTATATACATATATATAACTACATAACTATAAATATAAAACATATGTATTAACATATTTAACTGATACATTAACTGTAATATTTATTCAACAGAATTATGTAAAAAAAATAGGTAATGCATTACATGAGTAAGAATTTCTATTTTGCATACATATCTAAAGTGCTAATTTTATAAAATAAATGTGCTTAAAATATTATACTTTCAAAGCAGTTTTAAATTATATGTCATACACAATGAAAATATTTGTATAAATAATAATATATAGCATTAATTTATCTATTGAAGGGACTATGCTTCATTTTCCTACTTAAATAATATTAAAATGATAATATATATATTATATATACAGAAAACATGAATTTTTCATCAAGTCATTGAAAATATATACAGTGTGTTCACGATATGAGGTACCACTTAATATTTCCTCTGGATGATCTTGGATTGAAATGGGATTTTCGGGAGGTAATAGGGAGTACCTAAATACACATTGTCAGGCAAAATTCAAATCTGTAACACTCTCGATATGCGCATGCGCAATAGAACTTACTTTTTTTTAATGACAACACCAACTTTTTTATACGGATTCAGGTAGAGCATTTTTTTTCAAACAATTTTTGTATAAAAAGTTTTATACATAAATATTAAATTTGACCGTTCTGTAACTTTGCCAATTTTATAATTAGAAAAAAACTTTTTATACAAAAATTGTTTGAAAAAAAATACTCTACCTGAATCTATATAAAAAATTGGTGTTGCCATTAAAAAAAAAAGTAAGTTGTATTGCGCATGCGCGTACCGAGAGAATTATAAATTTGAATTTTTCTTGACAATGTGTATTTAGATAACACCCTATTACCTCCCGAAAATCACATTTCAATCCAAGGTCATCCAGAGGAAAAAGTGGTATCTATATCATGAACACACTATATATAATCAAAATAAATCAAAAATTAATTTACCAAAAAAATTGAAGAATGATTATAAATAATTTAACAATGGTTATATAGTTGTTATTTGGATATCACGCCAGCATGATATATATTGTTTCATCTTACATTATTCAACATCGCAAATTTGTAATCAGCAGTTCCAATTTGGTATATTAAGCTATAATATTAACTCCAAATATTAGACAAGACACTTAAAATTGGAGTATTATCTATGTTTTCTCATTGTTCTCTCTACTGTATTTTAATTTTATAGTACATTTATAGTTATATACAATTATTTAAAAATCCTCATAGCTTGTCTAAAAATTAAAATGTAGAAAAAGACAAATAATGTTTTTATTTTAAAGTTTGATGGAAGGTAAATTTTTTCTAATATTAAAACTTGCTACACCACAACATTGAATTAGCTGAGTATAAATCTACCATAATGAATGTTTAAGAGGGCACACAACATCCCTAATTTGTTGTCTCAGTCTTACAAACACGAGCATAGCAAATCATGCTCAGCAGTTCACATTTTATTCCATTAGCTTAAAAGTGAAAAGACCTAATATGAAACTTGATGGTAAGAACCTAATCGGTATTTTGTTGGAAGTTATTTTTACGATAATTCAGTTGTAAATCAGTTCAGAACATTTTTATTTTACAATTTATTGTATGCGCATAACTCACTTAAAAACTGAATTATCATAAAATACTTTCAACAAAACACAGATTATGTTCTTATCATCAAGTTTTATAATAGGTTTTCTACTCTGATTTTTAAGCTAACAGAATAAACATGAACTTCTAAGTGTAAATTTGCTAGGTTACATATTTATATGACTAAGACAACAAATATAGGTGTGGCATCCTCTTAAGAAGGAAACAACTAATGCAAAATTATTAATAATATAAATGTTAAAATCAGTCACAGCATTCTTTATTTTCTGGAATATATGATAATACCTTCAGTATTTTTAAAAATTGGAAATTAAATTGTAATATGTTATTGTTACTAAACAATATGATTTCTAATAACACATATTTTTGTATCAAAAATAAAACTGACAGTCATTAAATACAAAACAATAATTAGTTATAACTTCTATGAAATATCTATACAGGGTGATTCTTTTATCATTGAACACTCATTATTTAAAAAAGTATTTACTTTTTTCAAAATATTTTTTTACATAGTTTCAAGTTGTTAAAAAACCAACGTTTTTATTAAAAAATTATATTTTTAAATATTTTTTATCCTTATCATTTTTTAAGTTTTTTACTTTTTTGAATGACAACATAGAGTTTTAATATCATATTCCAAAGCAGAATATTTTTCTGAAGAATTTTGGACGAGTAGTTTATGAGTTATAAGTATTTAAAGTTTAGATTGGTGGAGTGGAGTGGTACGGGGTTACCCCGCAAAATGTTTGTCCACTACTCCGCTTGTCTAAACTTTAAATACTTATAACTCATAAACTATTCGTCCAAAATTCGAATTTTTACGTATCAAAATAATTAGAAAAATATTCTGCTTTGGAATATGATATTAAAACTCTATGTTGTCATTCAAAAAAGTAAAAAACTTAAAAAATTATAAGGATGAAAAATATTAAAAAACATAATTGTTTAATAAAAATGTTGTTTTATTAACAACATGAAACTCTGTAAAAAAATATTTTCAAAAACATTGATACTTTTTGAAATAATGAGTGTTCAATGATAAAAGAATCACCCGGTATATATTATTAGTTAAGCAATTTTTTTTTAATAAAAACAAAATATATAAAAAAAGCAGAAATAATTTGATAATATATATTTGGCTCAAGAAAAATAACAAATCAATATAATCTAATTGAAGATAAAAAGTATCTATTATAAATGATAAAATATCACTAAATCAATAAAATATTGATAAACTTCTAAGAATTAACTTCACAAGCACATACCATACTAGCAATAAATAAAAACTTTCTTGAAACATGCAATATGAATTAATAGTAAAATAATTTACTATTTTAGTATTTATCAATATTATACAACCAAAATTTGAAAAGGCACACACTCAAACAGAAATTACCTGATCGACAYTCCCAGCCGATTGTTGATTGCCAGCTGCACTCACTAGTCTTTGCTATGTTTCAAGAATACATAAAATTAATTAATTTTTTGGTTCCTAAATAATTCTATTTTGTTTTTACATAAATATATATGAAATTCAATTTCGTATGTTTCTTAAAAACCTTAAATGTAATACCTTAAGTATTAATTTAAATCTAGTTTATCATAACTAATTCTTAATCATAATAGTATACTAGATCGCTTAAAAACATAGTTAAAGTTTAAATGTCTAACCTGTAGTTCTTTGGGATTAACAAATTCCAATGCATGCCTTTTAATAGCATTAAAGGCAGCATTAGGTGCATAACCAGGATGAGGTGTTGGTGGTGCTGGAGCTGGTATTTCGCTACGACCACTTTGAGACAATTGTCTTCTTCGGACAGCCATCATTCTCAATACCTACAAATGGGGGAAAAAACGAATTGTGAAATATTTTAAGTTATACCCAATATATTGCAGCACTTACATCAGGATTACAGTGTCTATCAAATAAGTGTGTCATTAATGAAAACCGTTTGCGCTTCATAGCATCACATCGCTCCCATAAACATTGCATTTCTTGTACACCATTAGAAGGACAATGAGATTCACATGCGTGCATATAAACCTCATTAGCAGATTTAAAATTACGCATACATCCTCTCCATTCACATAAAAATTGTCCTTGATGATTGGTAGTAGTAGTGTTGACTTCCCCAGTAACCTTAATTGGAGCTGTAGTGCGTATCCTAGTTTGAACCAATGGTGTAGGCAAAGAGGCAGATACAATATGAGGTACAGTCTTAATGACCTTAATTTGCTGTTTATTAGCATTAGAAGTCACAGGTGTTACAGGTCTAGTCACCATAGTTGTGGTTTGTTTAATAGTTGGAGCTGTTGGAATTCGCTGTACAATAACTTTAGATTGGTTTGATGGTGAAGAGGTTTGAACAAAATTAGTCTGACTTAAAGTCATAGTGTTAGATGATTGATTATTATTTCCAGCTGGTTGTTGAAGAATTATTATTGTTTTAGCTCCTGAACCTTGAGGTGTAGTCTGAGCTACAAGAACAGTTTGAGCTTGGCCTTGTACTAAAGCAGACTGAGGTTGAGCCAAAACATATTGTGGCCCACCAGCATTACCTTGATGAACCATTGTTACAATACCTCTTTGATTATTTGATGGCCATTGAGTGTTTGAAGATGATACAATGATTTGCCCAGGAGTTTGAAAAATTTGCTGAGTTGTGGGTTGAGTATTCACTTGAATCTGTTGTTGAGAAGTAGGAATTGTTTTTGGTGGTTCATCATCTAAACCATCAATATCTTCTAAGACATCAGCTGCTAAAGCAGCATAAAGATTGGCAGCAGTTGAAGAAGCTTTCATATTACTTTCATCAACCTCCATGTTTTCCTCATCATTACTACTACTATTACCATTGAGATGTAGTTTCTTAGGCACTTGGTCACAAGCAATGTCTTTTTCAGCTGACCGTTTTCCACCCATAATTACTTTAACTAGTTGTTGTCCAGGCTTTTCTTCTCCTGCTTCCTGTTTAATTTTAATACAAGTAGCTGTTGATTTTTCTTTTGATTCTAAACACGCACCATTCAATTCCAATCCATTGTCTCCAACTTGTATTGATCCATATAAAAATGGTGCATCTTTTTTTTCAATCTCTTTATCTAATAGCCCTGATAGCATTACACTCTTTGATGCTATGTCGTTTATTTCTAATACCTCTGGAGTTCCATTTAAAAGAGATTCCTTTTTTGGCTCCAGTAAATTCACTTCGGTTTGATCTATCAGAAAAAGTTTAGCTCATGAAATATAAGTTTAACGCAATAGAAAAATAGAAATTAATTCAGTAATTTACCTTTATCGCTAAGTTTGTTCAAGCTATTGGCCAACGTTTTATTACTGGAAGCAATTGTTGTAATTACAGACTGTTGATTCTGTTCTGATTTAGACACAGTTACAACCATATCATTTTTACATAACTCCTGTGATAATTAAGAGTTGTTATTAAATATAATTTATAAAACCAATTAGTAGCTAATCACTTACATCAGAAGAAGTTCTGATACCATTTATTCTGGCAGTTTGCTTTGGTACTAAGGATGATGCCGAAGCAAATGTAGTAGAACTATTTTGTTGTTGTAATATTTTCTGTTGTTGCTGACGCTGAGCCACCTATTTACAAAATTAAATATTTAATTATGAGAATAGATTAATATTATAATGAATAAAAATCAAGAAAACAATCATCTAAATTGCATACTTGTTTTAGAATGGAAACGAGAATTTAATTTAAAAATTTAATAGGAATTTTAAAAAGGAATAAATATTTTGAAATAGATAATAAGAATAAAAAATATATTAAACAGTAAAATGAAGAATTATACTAAGTACCTGTTGATAATTTTTAATCAGAAATGTTACATATCAAAATATTAAACAGAGCTAAATGGCCAAATTTTTTTAACTAATTATGAAAGATTTGTTAGTAGTAAAAAGAATAACATACAAACCACTAGAACTTAAAAAAACATTTTGTTCAAAATGTAAGAATGTTATTGTTAAATAATAAGTATATCAAAGAAAATAAGCTTAATTTTATCTGAAGGTTAATAATAATTAAATTGAGTTAATTAATTATACATGGTTATTAATCTAATTTAAAAAACACAATTAGCTGTAAGACAAAATATTAATTTATGTCGTTAGTTTAACCATGCCAACAAACCTTACTTCCACCTTCAGTTCACAGAATGAAATTATTTGAATAAATGTCTATATCCAAAATTTTTAATAACTAAAAGAAAGTAAACCCAAGAAAAATCTAAGAAAAATTTAAATATTCCCATATTTTTTAAGTTTTGGATTAAAAAAAATTAATTAAATAATAGTTTAATGCATGTTTTTATTTGTTAATATTAAATAAAACTTACCTCAGTAATTACTGAAGAATTGCAATTTTGAGAAGAAGCATATAACGTGCATGACTCATTATTACTAAGTTTTATGGTCGCAGAAGGCACATTCAATTTTGGATCGCATACCTTGCTAGCTAATAATGTTTTAATTAAAGATGTATTGCTATTAGATAATAACGTTCCTTCAGGTTGAGATATAGTAGCAGATGCAACTGTAGTAATAACAGATGTTTCATTTGCAATACTTGTAGATGATACAGGATTCTGTATGGTCTAGAAATATAACAATAAGATAATATTTACTAAAATAAATTTCATTTTTAGACATTGAGAATGTATTAAAACATTGATTATAAATACTAGTATTAATAATTAACAGTGTGTACAAAGTTCACCCAAGTTAAAATGAAATAATTTTAAATAATTTGAAGTATTATGAATCACAAATAATAATAACTTCTACTAAATTTTAATAATAATAATTTTATAACAATATAACTTTGATAATCAATTAATAATTGCACATTTGATTATTAATGTTCACTAGTTAACATTTCTTTTTCTAAGATCTACAACGATATAAATTTATATTATCAAAAGAATGACCTATCAACTTTTGTCAAATATTAAAGATTCCCAACACATAATTATAAAATTTTATTTCTAGTTATTAAACAAATAAAATGATTACCTTTCCTAGGATTTCACGCTTAATTAAAGGAGAATTTTGTTGGACATTAGTAGCTGGTGCGCTGAGTTGTGCTTTAAGGATAGGTGAGGTAGGAATAGACGAGGGTGTTACAGATGTAGATTGTGTCACAACCACTGGTGTGTTGATCGGGAATGACAATGGTTTTGATCGAACCTGAATTCCTTCGTATGCAATAATTTGAGTGGGTGGATCCATGGCTATGCCACCTTGGCTTTGTGCAAGTTTTACAGTTTTTGGTCCAACGCCGGGTCCAAACACAGCTCTAAATACAATTTTAATTAATCTGTTATATTTATAAAATTTAAGTATTTGTAATTTACTTGACACAACGTGGGAAATGAAGTGGAGCAATAACTCCTCTTCTTCCAGCTCTAGCACAAGCAGTCATATATAATTTATATAATTCAGCTTGATCAATTCCTCGTCCAGGAGTAGGACACACTTCAAGCACAGCGCGAATCCAGTTTAATGCAAATTGTTCATTCTCTTGTTGTATCATATTAGCTGGTTGAGGAACACTTGGAGAAGTTTGGCTTGAAGATACTATAGCTGAATTGGTTGTAACAGTCACAGTAACTAAAACCAATTAATAGTTAAAACGCAATGTTTAAAAATCAAAAATAATTTAATTATGTACCTGGAACCATGATTTTGGGGCTAGCAACTGATTGCACGGGCGGTGGTGGTGGTGGTGGTGGTCCAGTTGGTGTTACAGATGTAAAAGTATTTAAAGTTGTAGACATAACAGGTACAGCAGTTGGAGCATTTGGTAATATAACAGGATTTGCAACCGCGGGTGTGGGTAGAGGGAGTACATTCTGAGATGTGAAAGTCGAAATTAGATGTTGGGATGCATTAGAAGGTGGAGGAACACTAGGGGCTGCCATCAAATGTGTCTTTGGTGCTGATTCTGCAGCAAATGTAGTTGTCGAAGGAGTTGTAACAGTCTCAATAACTCTCATCAATATACATGCTTTGGGTCCATATGTCTGTGCCTATGTGTGGACCAAATATTAAATCAATATACGTTTTTTTTATAAATGTATATTAAATTGTAAAATCATTTATAAAAAAGTTACCTCAACAGTAATTAAAGACACCAGAGTATCAATAACCCCATGTACATGAACAATTGCATTACAAGCACGCTCACCAAGTGAGCTCAATGAGTAAAGACATTCCAATGTTTGTATTAACAACATAATATCATGCAAGGATAACATATTACATATTTTATCGTATACCTAAATAACACAACATTTTTAATATATTTTTAATTTTAATTGGCTTTGCATTTTTTTTTTTACCTTTTGATTAATATTTTTCAATAAAAATTCTTCATTTGATTCTTTGGAGCCCATTCTATTTAAAGCCTCAACCGCACTTAATATGATTGAACGATCATTAGATTCAGTGATATTTTTACAGACAATATTTAATGTTGCATGCTGCAATGAACCAACATCAAGAGGTACTACAGGTCCAATATTACCCAACATCTCAAAACCAATTTGATGCAAACAGTTCCATCTTGTTGCACAGCACAATAAAACAAATCTAAGAAATGTCAAGTCTTGACCCATTACTTTCATATTTTCTTCAAAAAATGTCAAATTTCTGAGTATTAAAGCCACTTGGTACACCCGTTGCCCATATGGATCATCCGTACCAAGAGGCCTTTTCAGGCCAAACAATTCATCGTCGGATGGATCAAAATTTAATTTCACTTTATTATTTCTAAAATCATCATCATCATCACTACAAGAACTTGACTCATCATCTTTTCGTGGTATAGTTTTAGGAGTTCGAGCAGAAAAACGACTTTCGTCTGTTAAATACATTAGTTCTTGTTCATCAAGAACTTCTTTCCAAAATGATTTTATTGACCATTTTCGAACTTTCCGATAATAATCATCCCAATACTTACGCGAAGCAGCTATAAAATATTGAAAATGTAAATTAGTATTTAGTAAAATTGTTAAACTATATTATTGTATAATAATCTTACAATGAGTAAATACACCAGCGTGAGCCAAGAGATGGTGAAGAATTTGTGGGCACTTTGATAACTTAATTGCATGTTTGTTTTCATTAGATAAGAGGATACAAACATTAATTGCCAGGTCTTGCTCATTAGGTAAAGGTGATAACAACGATAAAGATAATTTATCATAATCACTAGCTTTGTAGAGATTGGTTGATAAACCATGAAACGCTCTTACAGATTCTACAAAGAAAATTGTATTAATTAACTAAACTATATTCAGAATATGGAAGGTACCAGACGGCCGACTCATACGCATAGCCATGGCTTAGTTACGAAGCTTTGCCTTGTGTGCCAGCGTTGGTGGAAGAAGCATTTGACAACCACTTCCGACACCCAGTACCTTTTTTATTCTGAACATAATAAAACTAATTCATACATACCATTAACAGCATGTTGATGGTGATTATAAACTAAAGGAACAGAATGCAATGCTCTAGCAGACCATTTTTTATGTCTACTATCTTCATCATCATCGCCAGCAATTGATCCAGTTTCTCCCAAAAAGTTAATTTTTTCATAACGATCTAAGTACCTGATAATAAAATTAAAATAAATATAGTTTGCACTTTGCATGAATTGCAAGCATGCTTTATCTTAGGTAATTTACAGTAGCTGTAGATCACAGAATTTAAGTATAGTATTAATAATTTTACTTTAACTCTTCCTTACCTTAGGTATATTTGTTTTAATGCAACTTCAGCATTAATACATGATGACACTAGATCAAAATTTTCCAAAAGATTTTTCCAGTCATTTCTCTGGTTAACCTATAAGAAAAACAACAAATTATCAATTATTTTCAAAAGAATACTTCCAATTTGACTATTCCAATAATTAAACTAACAATGTATTATTCAAAGAACAAGAAAGTATCATTAACAAAATGTAATAGGTACTGGATTAGTTTAGTGCACTCCATTATCCTTAATATTAGTAGGGGTGTATTTGAAAGGATGCTGGAAAAATTCAATTAAAGGAACATACAGATTAGTTTTATCACTCAACCCCATGGATATATTAGATTTAGATATGCTGTTGCACTACAATACATATAAAATCCTAATACATCAATGTGATGCCTTTGATTATACTTAATGATAAAAATAAATACACAAAAGTACCGTTAAAAAATGAGAGAAAAATAAATTATCCTATCAAAAAGGTTAGGTTAAACGTTTTATATCATAAATAAAATAATAAAAATTAAGTTTATAATCAGTAAATAGTCTTATCGACGTGACAGGCACCATCTAAATACTMGGGTATGAAGACTATGTTATAGAATAGAACGCAACAGTTTTTGGGATTCGTTTTTCTGCTTATTTCACACAACTCGTAGCAGCACCGAACCCCTGACGGACCACGTCGTCACACTGATCGGCGATCGATGGAAACCCGGAATTCTGGCCGGGCGCGGGAAAATATAGAAAAAAAAAACCGGGAAATCGGGAAAAATGAAAACGAGAGAGAACGTTCGCAGTGGAGAGGCGTACACGCGGGTCAGGAGTTCCCCCCCTCCATGCGACGGGTGCGTGTACCCGGATGTGTACAGTAATGTCATCGGTGTGTGTTGTGCGATTCGCGGAGATGCTTAACGGCGACGCCAACGACTACTACTACTACTACTACTACTACTACAGCGACGACGGAACCACGTGGCGTCTGCCGGGGGTATCCCTCCAGCTGATTGGGTAACGGTGACGTCACTCACACACACACGCGGTGGAGAGGCCAACATAACTCTGCAACTACAACAGCCCCACCACCAAAGTCGTGTTTTTATCAATGGCCCCTTGCGCGTCAAGATCAAGTGCATGTCCGTGAAACCGTCCTAACGATGCACATCGAGGTGCGTTTTAGACAAGCCCACCCCCTTCCCACCAAGTGGCAAACACATCGATATCGACGCAACGCCGACTTGGTGCTGTTGAACCACTTGCGCCGGTATCACTACAATAAGTAATAAAATAATATAAAATAATATCATGACATGCTACCTTATTGTATGATGAGTTAAGTGTGTAACTGTGTTAAGTACCGAACCGGTACGCGCACAGCCGATAGCCGATAACTCAATGACTCTCGTTGGATGAACCGATTTCTAATCGATCCATAGCGTAATACTTTGTTTACAAAACATTCATTATGATTTTTATCGACATTCGACTAATTGTTATTATTATTTATCTTTTGACGTTTTTTCGAATCACGATTGATAAAATATTATTTAAGCACATACCGTAGAACAGAAAGCATGAATATAATCAATATCAATCATTTGTACTTATAAAGTCGATGAGCTTACAATGTTATAGTAGTAACTTCATGCTAGAATTGTACATAAMAAATAACACATTCAGATATCGTATTTAAAAATATACTATCAGTTTATTCAATATGTACCATTAAAATATTATACTTCCTATAGTTGAATATGTATATATAAAGATAATGGTTTTTGTGTAACTACCGATATTTATATTATACAAATAGGTAATGGATACAATTTTAGGATAGTTATAAAATATTAAACTTAGTTTTTTACAGGTATTTTTATTTAAAAATTTAGTTCAATCACCTACTAGTATAATTTAAAATATAATATAGTCAAATAATAATTATAACCTAACTTTAGACGATCCATACGTCGAAAATATTGAAAGTAACGAATGATTATGCTAGCTGTTCTATACATGGTTTGGAAGATTTTTACTTATGAATTATTACATTTTTGTATAGTTTTAATTTAAATATCAATACATAATCATAAATAAAAGTAATTTATTCATAAACGATAAATATCTATATAGGTACATTTACACATATACTCATCATAAGCTAACCTACATCAATAACATAAATATTGCCTTATGTATMACATTTATACATAGAAATGTGTACCCAGAAACTGTATTTATTACACTAGTTTGAAAAAGTATGGCTTTTATTTATAATTGCCTCAATTGTCATTAATTTTTTTATACATCTCATCCAATTTACCAATTTACGGTATTGAAAAGTTGTTTGAATCGTTGTAATTACGTCGGAGAACAATAGTAACAGGGACGATATATAACACTATATAGGTTCTCTTAATATTGTTAACATTTACATTGGAAACTATAACATGGAAGATAATATTTAAAATAACTTCTTTAAAAATAAATTTAACTACAGATTTAACTGCTACAAAACAAACCAATTAGTTAATTGTTGATGAGCATTACGCTCATTGCGCGTGTTTTTTAATACGAATATATTAAAAGGTTTTAATTTTTTAAATAGATCTATAAGAATATTGATGCCAAATTTAACAATTCTACATCAGTATGAAGATATCACTTATGACTTAATATAAGTTATGATCAAAACATTTTAAATATGTCTAGGAGCAAAAATTTGATGATTGTTGGATACTTTTTATATACACAGGAGTATATAATACTCAACATTTGAGTTTAAATGATGAATTGAGTCTCAATCAGCATAGTATTTAATATTTATTGTCATTAAAAAGATTAAAAATACTGAAGTTAAACCGAGTAGAAAAACTAGTAAGTAGTAAATAAATAATTAAATTAAAAATTGTGTTAAACTTATTAAGAATTTCCTAATAAATGTTAATKGCAATTAATATTTGACGAGAAGTTTCGCTGTAGATACAGTAAACTATTTGATATGATTTTGACAGACCGTTTTAATTGATCGTAAATATATAAAATTTATGGATCACCTATACTACGATATAATTTAATTTAAGCGCATATACTGAGTTTATATGACGGTGTTAAAACGCTCGTGCTATGTAGTTAAAGAATTTAAAACCATTTTAACGTCATCATATAAACATAGTAATTAATTTGTTGGAGTACGAATTGAACTACAACTAAAAGGTTTCTTTCCAATTTTCGATAGGTTATTTGTTTTGTACAACACACACATGTCATTTTAAGCATCTACTTAGACAACTAAAAATTAACCAGAAGCAGAGCGACAGACGGAGTTATTGATTTCTTTTACAGAAATCCCAAGCGGTCTATACACTTGTCTTCGACAATGCGCGCGTAAGCATTCATTTTGTTATGGCATTCAAAAGCTTCTAATTGAAGTTCCTAAAGTAAATTAGTCTCCGTTCTAATACCACAGCGCTCAATAAATTACGTTGTAACTTGTTTAAAAATTAATCTCTACCGTCCACAAATCATAAAATGGTACCACCATGTGGGTCCTAACAGATTTTATGAAAATGGATTCAGTAGTTTTTAAATCTGGGTGCCGAAGAGAAAAAAAATGAATAAAACACTTCGATAACACTCACTGCACAAACATGAGTTTGAATAGCATTGGAAAGCCAGATGTTGATGTTTGGATAGATCGTAATTGAGCCAAAAGCCTTCTTGTTTATAAGTATAGATAATATGTTGTGCTTGAATAAGTAAGTATGTGGTATATACATCACAATTTACAGTATATTATGTAGTGCTGTATAGGCAGGAATCGTCAATAATCATAATAATTTATTCTACGTATACAATAATAATAATTAAACGTTCGACCGAGGCGCAGTATKGCGCGCATTCTATGCAGAATTATATATTATTGAAACGGTAACGGTCAGAACCCATATTATAATATAACGACCATGACCATTATTTTCTTTACTAAAAAAGAAATACAACTGTACATAACATTTCTAAATTCTCATAAACTTTAAACAGTACCAATGTTGGCTTATAACTTATAAAGAGGCAACTGATTCTAAAACGTATACATACAAGGACAGGCCACAAGGCGATCAAGCAGTTATTACAATATTTTACTTCCAAAGAGTCATATCATCATGATACACCCTGTACAGACATTCAAATTACATCTAAATCGGGATTTTATATTCGTTCATAAAATCAATTTTTGTAATCAAAATCGTTCGTGTAGGTGGGATGAAAACGAGGGGGTCACGGTGATTTGAAAATGAAGAAACCACAGTGTTGGAATAATTTTAAAATTGCGTGTAACTTACGTAAAATGGTACACGAGGGATTATAATGATGTCGTTATAAACGAAAATTGTTCTCGGGAGATGCTAGTGTAGGGAGAATAGTTCGGGACTAACACGCCGCTATGGCCGACTGGAGTGGAGTGGTAACGAGGGACGCAGTGTTGACGCGGTTTGCGGATAAAAATATACATAAACAAACGGCAAACGGAAAAAAAAATAGAAAATGTCATAATGATTTTATTTCATAATATGCATTAACCACCGATACTCGGGGGGCACAACACTATACAGTGCACGCCATAATATCAATTTCATAGACACAACGCGTCGTGCGCGCAAAGAATGTGCAATATTCAGTGCGTCGTTACTACGGGTTGGTGGGGTGGGGGGGGGCATTCATCAGCTGCCGATCTAGTCGTATGATGTGAATATTGTATAGATGTCGTATGTGTGTGTGCGTGTGGGTTTGTGCAAACGATGGTCGACCGGAAACGGTTCGACGACCGACGGAGACACGGGCGGCGGTGTATAATATTTTAGTTGGATATTATTATTATTAAATAGGTGCGGAGAACACCATCGTCGTCGACGCATCGAATGGAGCGCGGCGGCGTCAGTCGGTGGTGACTGGTGTGTGTGTGTAAGTGTGCGAGGTGGGGTTAAACAGACACAGCGGTCGAAAGCAGGATTTCAGAGTGAACGGCGGCGGCAGAAGTAGTTGGTGGGGAGTGCGGTTGCGGTGCGCAATCGTTGACAGCCACGCGACGTTGCCGCATGGTGCGCGCCCCCGGATCCGTTCAATAGCGCCACGATGCCACCAAACGAGCGAGCGCGGGCACCGGGCCCCAGTTCCCTCCACCCGACATCTTCACAACACAACAAACGCAATAACATTATATTACACTACATATATAATATACTCGCCGTGTGGTACATACGAACAAGGCGCGCGCACATACCGCCGTTTTTGTATACAATGCTCGACACCACCGTACCCATTATAGGCCATAATATTACCGATTCACATAATACACGACATTCTGATAGTCTATCGTGTACAATTTATACAACACAATATTATCAATAATCGTTATAATATTATGTCGGGGGATATCATAATATTATTATTATTTGTCGAACATTGCTATTGGGATGATAATTTTCTTTACGAGCGCGATATTGACGGGACCCGCCTGAATATAATGGGCATATGACTCAATACGAATACGGGTTGTAGTGTGGCCGTCCAGAGGAATTCGCCGATCGTCCCATGCGGAAGCCATGTAGCCTCAGGCGCGCTCGCGACACGGGAAGTGTGACCGGCGAAAACCACGATGTGGGCGGCTGGGCGGCATTTGGGAACCGGAAGTGGGGCCCCTGGCACGGCGGCGGCGCCGGCGATGTAAACAATCCGCGGCCCGTGCACTAGGTCAGGACCGCGCCACGGTGGTCACGTGCGCCGCCGACACTAGTGTGGATCGCGGTGGACGGAGGGGGGGGGAGGACGCAGGCCGAGGCACCCGTGTGGTAGTAAGTCACCGGCGACAGTGATAGCGACGAGTAAACACCACGGTGGGTACGTGGTAGGGCGGCGGCGGCTGCGTCGCGTGATAAGCGCTCCGCCGAGTCTGCTTTTAGATCCCCGAGATCGACCGCGCCGACCGATCGTGTTCGCGTGCATACAACACGAGTGCTAGGTATAAACATAACAAATAACTCGTGTAAATAGACGGTTCTGCGGCCCGATCGGTTAACGCGGTATCACGAGAAACCCCGGACATCATGCCAAACCGCCTGAACAACATCCCTCCAACACGGCTCTCAATTTTCTGATATTTTTCTTATACCCCTTACGATGACGACTATATTATTATCGGTAGTCGTTACTCGTAGTTCCGAGGAAAAATAATTATTACGAGATCAAACTAAATCGTTTCCTTGAGAAGTCATCTGTTTCATACCGCCCTAAGATTCAAGATTTTTAATCCAGGTACACAAAACCCGGTTAAGATTTACGGTGTAACTGACGTTTTCAGAAATCAATAAAACAATTTTTTTATGAATAAACAATTAAACTATTATTAAAAAGACTACTTTTGCTCGAAAACATCTTGTTAACTCGGTTATTTACCTTCCTAGAATAATTTCGTTCATTTACTGCCCGCATTCAAATATCGAACACGGTTGATTTCAGTAATATTAACATGAAATGAAGTAACTCACCTTAACCCATCCTCCCTGTGCGGTGACCAGAACATACAGAAGATATAAATCAATATCTTTTCCATCTATTTTTGGTGAAACACGGCTTGGTGTTCTGAAACACAAAATACATTTACTTGTAATTTATAAGTTAAACACAATAGACAAAATATTTAAATTTTTATCTTAAAAAAACAGACACATGGCCAAAAGGAATCAATCATAATGTTATTTTGACAAAACTGGATGATGAAGTATAGATAATAAAACACGTTCAACATTCGTCAATCAATCACAACATCTAAGTAGCATACCAACAAAATGCATTGAAAGTTTCATTAGTMTCGATTGATAGAATTGTAAAACTACTGTTGAATGTGAACCTCAAAGCAAACGTAACATTAAAACATATATTATTAACAAAAGATAATAGGTACCTATATGAATTAAATACTATTTTTTTTAACGTGATACTAAGAATGGAAAATAACCTACCTTCTACGTATCAATTCTAATGGTTTAAACTGTTATTTTGAAAATAAAACAATACCAAGATAACGTAATGTAACACATTTTCAATTGTGTCTAAATAGATATGACGTTCGCCCACTTAAGGTTTCGTATAACAATAATTAGAACACGAAGATTATTTAAATTATGAGTATTTGTAATAGGAACTTATTAATTTTCATATAGTTTCTAATTATAAGCATTAACCTTTAGTCTTCCAACTCCTGTTTTATAGTTAAAGTGTATGATACATGAATTTTAAATATTAAAAAAAATGTTCTTAATATAGTTTGTTGTACATTTTTTTTTCAAATATAACTTTTAGAAATCTGAAACTCATGGGAAAATACATTAAATTTATTCAAATGGTARWATGCAACCGTATAGTTTGATTGCAATTTGGGGATGATATCGACTCTCATGTTGGTTTAACACTTGTCATTAAACTAGGTATATTACATTTTACAACACAAATATAGACGAGAAACAGCACAAATTATATTGAAATTTTTAATTACTCTAAAAATAATTAGGGTTTGTCCACAGACATTSGTACAAAATTTATCAATTATAAGTAGGTATGTTTAAACAAGAGGGAAAGTAATGGATTTCTCAGAGCAATATTACAATAAAGTTAGATCTGTAGAAAGTTTTTATACATTATACACAACCGTGAAACGCAGTAAATTGTGTACAAGTAGATAGTAAGATTATTTTGACGGCTAGTAAACAAAAAAATGTGAGACTTTATTCTGATTGTGTACGAGAAAAAAAACACTAATGGCGAACCAATAAAATGAAACACACAATCGATATCACTGATGGCCGTTTCATAGAATTGTAATTATAATACAATTTTTAATAAATATACAACTATAATGACAACTATTGTCTATGAATTATTGATTATTTTGAGAAACCATGGAAGGATTTTGAAAAGCATTTTCATCAATGCGTTAACATTAAAATACGAATATAACTATTAGTAACTCGTTCTCGCAAAACGGTTGATAACAAACTAACTTTACAAATTATTTGTTAAATTCAAAACGAGGACAAATTGGCATCACAGTACTGCATCAATAAAAATAACCTAATCGTTCTCGTCATTGGTATGTAATTTTTCGAGCACATTATTAAACTCAATAGGGGCCCTAGAGGAATTACCCCCCCCCCTCCCACAAATCGGTCACCGAAAAAAGTGAATTTCCCAACAACGTTATCCCAAAATGCATTAAAGCAGCAAATTATGTTACTGTTCAATGTTAATATTTATAACTACCACCAACGGGTAATTAAAAATCCGAACATTCTCCCCACTCTAATAGCGCGCACACGTTCATTTCCAAATTAACTCCAAAATGTATTTTAGTGAACATTGTCGGTATTATGTCACAAAAATCTAACTCTGGACAACCGTAGTTGGGTTTATGGATATGGTGGTGCACCAGAAAATAAGTAACGCGCTTTAGAGCACCTAACGCGGAAGATGATGCAATCGCCAGGGAATCGTATGCGTCCGCCTTGGCATTTTGGAGGGAAACACAGACGAGACTTGGCCAAACGACTTGGTCGGGTCGGAGGTGGAAGGATAGTAACTAGCGGAGTGCTGGAGTCCACAAAAACCAACGGAGGACTTGGTGATGGCTCAGCGACGTTCTAAGGGGGGGAAGGGCAAACAACAAGCGACTCAAGTGACCACTGCGGTGGTGCGCTTACCCTCTGGTGTCGTGGAAGTGCTGCAAGTCCCTGAGGAAGCTGGCCTTTTCCCTCGCGTAGTTGGCCGGATCTTTGTTCAGGACGCTGGCCATGCCTGCTGGATGTGTTGGGAACGTGTGCGGAGTTACGTAGGGGGCGGCGGGCCACGCGTGGCGCGCACGGAGCGCGGTGATAGGGCCTGGGGAACGCGCGAGCTAGCAGCTCGTCAGCGCTGGTCGTCCGCGAACATATTTTCACGTCGTTGTCATCGGCGGCCCGTACATCGTTATCACCGGCGGCGGCCGTTATCTAAGCCGCGGCGGATCTGTGACGGACGCGCACACCCCGCGCTGCTACTCGCACGTACTCAGCGGCGGCGGCGGCGTCGCAAGCAAGAGCAGCGGTGGCGGCAACAGCACCACAGTCCAGTTATCGGCGCGCGTCCCGTATCGTGTCGCCAGGCGGCCAGACCACCAGCACACTACGCGGACGTCGTCGGAACGCGAAAAAAAACGGCCACGAGATTGGTACGTTTTTAAGGGCACACGCGATAGACGCTGCGGCGCACACACAAAATGGCGACAAACGATCGGCGGCTGTATGCGCGTCGGGAAGAGTGAAAAAAAAAAATAAAACAACGAAATAAAAACAAAATAAATAACGTGCAACGTCGGCGGCGGCGGCGGCGTGTTTCGCCCGTGCGTTCCGGTACGCGGTTGTCGTTCGGGGCCGGCCCGGCGCAGGCGAGCGCGGTGGCGACGGGCAGCGACAAGAAGGAAAAGGAGAGAAAACAAAAAAAACACACCGATCGGCCTGCGGAAAACCGGGGAAAAAGTCGAATTTTTATTCTCTAGGCGATCCGGCGGAGCAGACCGTTCGTCATAGCACACAGTGTGTTCACGTCGGTCGGGTCGCTCCCACCACCCCACCAACGGAACATCGTCCAAACATTAAAACCTTGTCGCGCGCGCACGCACCTCGTGCGCGCGCCACCGTCCCGACCCGTTTACAGTGGTGCCAACGATTTATAGCCGCCGACGCTGTGAACCGTCGTACGACGACATATTAATATTATTACGTACCTTGTGTGTTGTATAATATACAATATCATGTTTATGCGCACTACGCAGACAAAAATCAAAATGATATTATAATATTACGTATATTATGATACATTTTTCTAAATTGTAACACTCACTAAAGCTTACTCGAATAATTTCCAAAATTCCAATTGGCTATTTATTATTATTATTATTATTGAATTATATTGATGACAATTCCGGAATTCCCTCGTCATTTGTTTTGATTGGCAAAACGCGTCGATCGAAAATGCATTTTTGAATAATTAACGGTATAAAGCGCGGGGAGTGTGTGTGTGTGCGTGTGTGAGCGCGCGTTTTTACGACTCAATGCATGGACTAAGCATGGTAGTATGGTACTCTCTAGTCTCTTCTGCAGTATCATAGAACATACTAATATTATTGAGTTTTATGATTATGATTTATGACAAGTATATTTTACGGCCGAGGTCCTATTTCTATTTTCTAACGTATTACTGATGTGCGAGAAGTACTGCGCGTGTTACGAATATTTTGTCCATAAGGACGCTACCCAACCACCCACTCATATAATTATAACCTGCTAATATTCTTTTTAATATATTATTATAACTAGTGTTATAATATAACTTAACATTTAACTTCAATTAATACCCTACACATACAGTATTATACTATATCTTACCAATTCCCCAAATTACAGGCCGGGTATCCAAACTATCACCCACTGGACAAATGTGACACACGAACAAGTTTTCACCGGCCCTCGAAAAAACCGGTAAATAATCTAAAAATATGTGTAATATCCAAAGTCACATGCGCGTGTCACCAATATCATAATGATATAGCTCAGTTATATTTAAGTATATTATAAGAATTTTTTGCATGAACTCACGTTTTTACGTATAATATTCTACTCTACACGACACGTTAAGTTATGAATCGCCCTTTATATTCACATTATAACCTTCTTAGCAGGGAGCCAGAAGCGGACTGGCAGATCGGGAAATTCCAGATAGGCTGGTGGAATAATCGAATTACGGGGCCGGTTAGGGCCGGACAGTTTGGTTGTATAATTAATTTAATAAGATTTTTTATTAAAATAATAGTTTTTCAGTTTTAGGTCTGTTTAAAATCCATAAAATATAACATAAATAAACGATACAAATCATTCCTTAAATTATATTTTGTTGTTCTAAAAACAATATTTACATGAATAAAATTAATAGCTAATGACACGGGAGTTTGTAATTTGCACCAAAATAAGGGTATGTAATTTGCACCAACCTCAGGTAGTCAAAAATAGAATTTGTAATTTTCCCTAAAATGATTATTTATTTATTCGATTATGAATTATTATAAAATTAAAAATATTATATTATATTCGATTTTGAAATATTCGATTTTTCCTCGGTATCTTCGTAGACGTCAAGACTAGATTGATACGAAGGTTAGGTTAGCTACAGCCCCCCCTCCCCCAAACGTTGAGAAAATTAAAAAGTTATTTTATTTTAATGGTCTATGAAAGTCGCTACAAAAGTCTTAAATTGTATTTTTTAAATATAAAAAGAAAATTCATTGCTTTTTTCTTATTTTTTTTCTACATTTTCTAACACGGAAGAACTATATATATATATAAACCACCACTGTGTAAAAATTGATCATACCCCTCTGAAGAAAAATCCTGGCTACGTCACTGTACTCTGTAATAACTAAGTTAAACAGAGTTATTAAATTATTATAATAATAGAAAAATAAGGGTGTACATGATATTTTCTATAAATTAGCTTGCAACATTTGTCGACGGAGTCGTCATAACTAATAAGACGTAAGCGACGTAATATTTGGTATTGATATTTCGTGGTGATCTGTTGCACACTATATAGTGGACAGTGCAGGTCTAATACTCCACTATACAAATAATTTTCACCCAATAGGTTTACCTCAATGATAAAAGAAGTCTACACGAGTTTTATATATCACGTCTAAAAGAGAGGGCTTCTTTTCAAAAATAATTACATTTAAATTATTGACCAACACGTCACAATACTTACTAACCAATATTTTACTTATAACTTATATCTACGTAATAAAAATGAAATGATATCCATTATCCGTTGGTAATCGCATAGCTATTTTAGAGCGGATGAATCAATTTGGTTGGGAATTTACGATGAATATTAAACATTTAGTGTTGCTTATAAATGGTAGGTAGTCACTATAGTCATTGGTTAAATCTTACTGATTATAATAGAAATAGTAGAAATATAATTATAGAAATCATCAGTATTTATTTGTCTAAATAAAATATATAAATGATTACCATTGGTTACTTACTTGGATATAGATAAGGTAAAATCATACATTAAAATATTAAATCACAGCGTTTATGACCAATAGAATGAGAAAATAAATAATTATATCTTAAACAAATATTAGAGTTGAAATATGCATAGTTGATTGATGTTTGTTGCTTTTATACAATATACTCAAAAACTAGTAGAAAGGTTTTGTGAAAATTTCAGATTGCTGATCAGAAAAATTAAGGGAGTAGTTTGAACGCGTTACTTAACCTAACCAAGTGTTATCTGCTTATTTCCAAACTACCATAGGCAAATTGTCAATTTTATTGGTTGAGTTAGTTCATAAAGTGAACCGTGCAAAGGTACATGCACAATGCACCAACGCCGTGCGATATGCCCGTGATGAATGAGGTGCACCATACGTCCATACATAAGATACACCTATAATTATAATATATTATAGCACTATAGCTAATAATTTTCATTTTTTACAACATTCTTTTTTTTTAAATTAATTGTAGTACAGCCAAAAATTTATATTGGTTTATCAGGAGAGTGCTTTAAACTTTTTTTCAACCTCTATGTAAGCAGATAAAGAGAAATTCTCACACGATTTTTTCAGCTCTCGAAAAAAGAATATATCTGTTGATATATGTATATGGTTGCCATAATTGCATAAATATTTCATGCGCCGTAGTTAACGTGTTCTGTTTCAATGTTAGAAAAGCTGTGTCTATACACAAGTTCAAAAATTTGAAAAAAGTCAATAGTTTTTGAAATAATGAGTGTTGTTTGATAAAAGAATCACCCTGTACTTTATACAAAAATAAAGTCAAATTAAATAAAAATGAATTTTTTATTTTTTATCAAAATTTTATTATTTTTATTTTAAAATTTTATTAGTTATATTATTTATTATTATAAAAATAATATGACGAAATTTAAAACAATATTTTAATGTCAGTATTACAATCACAAATACATTTTTCCTTAGATAATATTAAAATTTAGAAAAAATTGTGGTATACTGATAAAAACTTTTTTTTAATTTTTTTTTTTAAATCCTAACTTTTTATAATTTGGTTTTCGTCTAATTCGGACTACAGCACTTATATTATGTACAAAAACCTCAGTCGCAATTTGGATTAAGTACACTATTTTTCGTAGGTATTTTTGTGACACAACTAAAGTATACAGTTGTAACTTGTAAGTACATAAATAATGCTTATTTATCAAATATGCAGCTGTTTTAGCCGTTTATAAGGACTATAAGTAATAAGACAGTGCGAATCGAACTTTCTTTTCTTGTGATATCATTACAAGAGGAATGACCGAGTGTTTATGCCTGCATTGCCTGACATCTATATAGCTTTGTTTATTAATACGAATTACATACACATCGTTATAGATGACCCTAAATGAACCTGAGATTATACTTTCTTTAACTACTGTACTACAGTAGCGTGTCTTCGTATAGACTCAAGACTCCGTGAGGGTGCACTACGATTTGTGAACATTTGGCTGAACTCGAAGGGGATAGACAGTAGACCTCACATTAACCCCTTACAGATTATACAATTGTTCGAGTCAACGAAAGACCGTTGGGACCAATCGCCAACTCTTGTCAGCTAGGCTGACCTTAATCGCCACCCTAGACATCTTGTTCTGTAAGTCATCATCTTATCAGACCGGCTTAAGATAGCTATTCTTTACATCTAAGCCAGTCAACTATATATATAGACATTTCAACAGCCATTCTTATAGACAATCCAATGACATTTTAATGTGCCACCGACCTGCGAAGTAAAGTTTTAAACACAGTTGCAAATTATTATTATTGTGAGTAAAATAGCAACGTCTATATTATTACGACCTTTAACTGACTTTTATGTATCTATTTAATAATATTATTTTTCATTATATAATTATGAATATAAAATTTTTACATTTAATATGTAAATATTTGTAAGTATATAATAAGATGGTACCTACAATATTACTTTTAGCATACTATGTTAGTACTTTTTTTCMGAGCACTTAGTAAACAAATATGAATAAATAATAAAACAATATCATACCTAAATCATTGAAGTTATTATATTTTATAACAATTGATACATCTTAAATTTTATATAATAATAACTTGCCCTTAATCTATAAAAATATTAAAAATTAACTAGAAAAATATCGTGCTATGAATTAAATATTGTGAAATCGTTATTATTTAGAAATAATATAAATACTATATGTAAGCACACAAAAAATGACTAAATTAGGTACCTACTATATGTTTGTAAGTTGTATTGAAAACTAAAAATATATTACGATGAATATCATTTCAACATTATTGATACAGTAATCATTAATTAATAATTTAAACGATTTTGATAACCTTGTGGATGGATATAAAGTCGTAGATAATTGTTGTTTTTTTTAATTGACAATGAATCATTTAAACGGCAACCAGCCTTGCACAGCTTCAAATAAATTGTTTCCAGATCCCGAATCTGAATTCATTCCTACATTTCAAATTTGAAAAAAAAATTAAAATACGTACATTAATGTAATATATAATATATTTGAAAGCCAACAACAGTTGTCTTCAAAGAAACATTTTTTAGTAAGTACATTATTATTATTCAATAGAAACTTATATTTTTGTCTTCTGATTCAATTTGTAAATAATAGATATTATAAGGTATATTAAACCCGATTGATTCTTGTGGGTTATGAGTTGACTGAATGGAATTTTGTTATAAAGAATTACAAATACATATACATATAAAATTACATATACGTGTACATTTTTAAAACTTTTCCGTAAAAATTAAAATAATTTTTGCTCTTAATTATCATTCAAAAACCAATTACCTTTTTTTTATTTCGATTTAAAAACATAACATTTATATAATTGAGTGTGATTAGTGTATACACTAATTATTAGTTATTACTAATAAACATTTTTTTTGTAAAAATCATTGTTTGAATAAACATTATCAGTCACATAGTTTCAAAGTTCTATTATTATAACGCTTGTTATGCTAATTTGAAAAATAAATAACAAACTTTAGGGCCTTTAAAATAAAGTAATAGCGCTCTGCAGCTGATAAAAATAAAAACGTTATTTTTGATTAAGACTATAAAAAAAATATAAAAATGTGATTTTATGGTTTCACTATTATGACCACTGTATAGATATCAGGTTAATATGTTGATACCTATATCCTATAATATATACGACCTATATCATACACAAAATATTTATTTTCATTTAGGTATATTTAATATGAGCATCTTTTTGCGAACTATATTATGAATATTTAAAATAAGTTTTATAAAATCAATACTGAGGGCCTTTTAATCACAAAATGACGTGTTTACATAATATACATTGTATGTAATATGTGTAATATTATGTATTATAATATTCAAAGCAAAACTGTCTTATTCAAATTTGTAGAGATGTTACGAACCATAATATTTAAGGTCGAACCGAACCCGAAYYGAAMTTTTMTTKAAATTAACGAMCTCGAACAGATCCGAACCTACACACTTTTAATCGAACCCGAACCGAACCGAACTCTTCAAATATTTTATCGAACTCGAACCGAACATTAAAAGTTAAATTGGGTATTATTTTATTTAATATTTAATATTTATTTATTTATCGTTTAGCCACCATACCTCAGAATTATTAAATAAAGATTTTACTACTATTTACTTAAATACTTTAAATATTTTAATAGTTAATAATTATGCATGAGATTTTTAATTATTAATATGATGATAACTGATAAGAAAAAGCGAAAACATCAATATCAGCAAACATTAAACAACTAATAACAATCTATTTTTGTATCGACTATCGAGGGTTTTCATAACGAAGTCCCCCTTCTCCGCCGCACAGAGTATCTACTATCTTGACAGTCTCGGATAATGCGCTGAATGGTCATTGACTATGGATGGTAAAAAAGGTGTGCGGCGGCCGGTTGAAACACGCAATTAACAATAACAATAGTAATAACTTATAAATAATAAATATTAATTATTAATTATTTAATAATAATTTATAATTTTAGCCGTTACTTTATCGACTTTTATTTTTATTTATCTGGTTCGATTATCGAACGGAACTMTTAGATATTTGGTTCGGTTCGATTATTTGGAATTTCCAGTTCGGTTTTCGAACCGAACCGAACACCCAGAGTTCGGTTCGGTTCGGTTCGAAAATCGAACAGTTCGTAACATCTCTACAAATTTGATATTTAATTCTCTCTTAACGAATTTCCATTCAACATATAATTGGCATAATATAGTATTTATAGGACTGTGGACTATTATCATTTTCCTTGGTTTCGTTCAGAATCACTAACAAGCAACCTTTAATGAGGATATGTAACTATGTAATTCATGCAGGACACATGTATACAAGATAATCCATCATACATGCTCACCCCCTTTTTCATTTTTGTTGCTGCAGTTATTCAAAATCTGGTTTTTAGAATATTTTAATATACTTATAGATTATTTTTTAAATTCTTAAGATTTTTGTACTACTTAAGGAGTTTTATGTGTAATCGTGTAGATACAAACTTCGTTTTGTCAAACGAGAACCATCACCCTTTTATAGAAAAGTTACATTGTACATTGTACATTAGTACATTATTTAGCCGATATTTTTTTTATGTAATAGACTATATAATTATCTAAGTCAAAATTTGAACTTGTAGTTTTGATTTATTTTACTTAATGCTAAGAATAATGAGTTTATGATATATGTAATTGGGTTTAATAATCATGGGGGCTATTTCAATTTAAAAGTTTTAGTAACTAATATTAATTTATAAATATTTATAATTTTTTTTAATGTATTAACTATGATAAATATAGGTACTAGAAACCAATATTAAATTTATTTTATATTTTTGTAAAAATTATTAACCTAAGTATATAACTTATTTAATAACTTGGAAACTACAAGTTTTCAAAATAAAAATAAATTATCCATTGAATAATTTACAGTAAAAAAGAAGGGTTTTTATTTAAAAACCAGAATTTAATATATTATCATCACAAGACTTCCCTTAGGTTGAACAAGATATTTCACGAATTTGATGATATTTAATTATAAGTAGATATTTATAAATCCCAAAACTTGCAAAACTCAGAATTTTAATTTCAATAAAAGTATAAAATGGGGTCGAACATCCTTTGTGAATCACCATGTGTGTTATGGTAATTCCATATTTTATTATGAATATGTTTTTCATACCTGTAGAAGAATAAAATATGAATTGTTTTGTGGAAATATAAAATTACTCAAGCTTGCAGATAAATTTTTAAATATTATGGGTAATGTACTAATGTCGAAAAGCCAATTCTTACTGGCATATTTTATAGTTTTATATACTCCTTAAAACATTTGTTTTTATCTATACACTAGCTGACCCGGCAAATGTTGTTTCGCCATATATATTTCTAGTGAATTTTGTAGTGGTTTTTTTCTAATTATTAACCTAAATTTAGCAATTTTAATAATGTCCATTAAAGTGAAATACAATAAAAAGTCAGGTAGTCACTATTTTCACAATTTAATATTTATTAATCATCTCATATTATATATATACACGTATATACTAACTATATTATGTATTTTGATATTCTGCATAATATATACATACAATTTTTATTATATTATTAATACCATTGATTATAGAATATAATTATCTATTCTATAATCAATGTTAATACTGATAATATAAATTATTGGTCAGCAATTACCTATGTCCTAATAGCCGAAATATATCCTAATATTCCTAATCGTTGATACCATTGCAATTAATAAAATATTGATCGCCTGCACAGCCTAAGCTAAACCACGGTATTTATTGTATTATTATTTATATGTCTATAGGTTCATTATTTTAATTTGAAATAATTTAAAATTGTCTGAAATTAGTTATATTTTATACATATTATTTTAAGAGGACATTCCAAACTTGTGACCAAATGAACCATATAGTAAGAACAGTAAACTGCATGACGTATTGTCTAGTCCTAAATTTCCTGTTCAAATAATCCGTTTTTCTCTTGTTATTTTTATACTATAATGAATTTACCTATTATAAAATTGAGGTAAGAATATTAAAACCCCACGTCAGCTTATTTAATTTTAATGTTAATGTATATTTATTTTTTTAAATCCAATTTTAAATTGCTTATAATTTACTTTTTTTTTCAACATTTATTAGAAAATACACAATCTGTAGTAATAGTTACAATAAGCATATAAGCTGAAATTACAATGATGGTTATGAGTGCGTGAGGTGAGTAGCAACCCAGCAGTAACACTCGATTAAATAATTTATTACTTTAAAATTAAAATATCAAAAAACAATACCTAAACTTTGTTGTTTGACCTACACTCCATTAGGGTACTTTTCTTACGTCAAGGCCTCATTACTGCACAGTTGGATCTTCCTTTTTTCGTCGTACAATGGAAGGGAAATTATAGTTAAAACTGAAGCTAATATAAGTACTTTTGTTTCAATTTTCAATTCAGAGAATATTCCTCGATCATCATACTATCGAAACTGCCGATGGCCAACCACTACCATCACTGCAACAAGTTGTTATTTATAGGAGTGAAAAATGAAACTTATCTAATACCTAGCTCGGGCTACACAGTACACACGTTATACATAAATACTAAGAAGAAGCAACTAAATAATGACACAGAATCAGACGACTTCGTTATCTCCTATTATCTAATATCCAAAAATGTCAACTTAAATAATAAACTACCTGCAAAGCAAATATTCATATTTCATTTATTTTATTTTTTAAAAGGGTGAACAATTTTTTAACACAGACATGCAATACACTTACACACAATAGCTTCTCTTCAAACCACTATGTACCAATAGTACTTATACTATACACAAGTCAGGGGCTTGCCAAAAGCATCGCGAATACCTAATAACAACTAACAAGATTCAAACATTTTGATCATTAATCTTCAGGTAAATCATAGAATCTCGCTAATTTTTGTTTTAAATCATACCCTATATATACAAGGTGTAACAGATAGAAGTGGTATGAAATTTCATATATTTTACGCTCTGTATAATTATAGCACGTAATATGAACAAAATTATTATTACATTAAACATATTGTGTATAATGTGTGCACATGTTGGCCATGTACTAAATACGTTGTATTTTCAGAATTATTAATGTTTAATTGCTTATAAATTGTTTTTTGTAATTTAATTTTTGACAATAACGTACGATATCAATTAATTAAATACAAAATTAGAATAAACTATATACCTAAACCTAACCTTATGTATTGAATACTAAATAGAACTTGAGAATTGTCAATGAGCCTAATTATAACTAATTGACTTTATCGACGGTGATAGTTATTAAACATTTTTATATATTGTCAATTACACTTATAAAGTTATAACCTATACCTAATAAATTTAAATGAAACAATGTGTGTGTCTTATAAGTAAATATTTCAATGGATATTATTTATGTCCTAATTTTTTCTTATGTTTGCAATTTATTCCACAATTTTATTATTTTAACACTTCATTTTATAATTATTATATATATATATATATTATGTAGGTAATATTAATATTTATGTATATTATTCTGAGTGATACCAAAATCATAATAATTATGATTGTATTTATTCTAAGAATACACTTAAACTGACATACCGTGTCTATAACCGTCAATATATATTTTCTAATAAAATTTATGATTATTATTACAGCAGTATAGGTATTACCTATTAAACAGCCAAGTTTATTAAAATTTATACTGTAGGTACTTATTTTCACACCGTATATTTTCAGTATAATGGGAAATTTTTTAATGAGAACATTATTCCCTCTCATATTTTTCAAAAATGTATTAAAACAAAATATTTTTTTGCGTTGTAAAATAAAATAAAATAATTTTTCGAATATTTCCATGAATAAATATAAATAAAGCATGGTGGAGGGGAAGGAAATATCCTTGGTAAAATTTTTGAGGGGAAATGGCCATTTACCATTCGTATGTGCCAACACTAATGTAAATGTTATAGAATTACTTTTTTTTTGTTTTCGTGTTACTTAAAATTCTGAGATAGCCTAATAGTAGTTTAGTGCTAAATTATGTACATTTTTTAAAAGTTGAATTATTAATTTCCATTGAGTATATTTATAAAGTTATGTAACTATATAGGTAAATTATAAACTCCAGTCAGAGAGGAAAAATAGCAAAAGACAAAAATTACCTATGACCTTATTATGGTTCCAGTTAGAACATTTAAATAAATTGTATAATTTTATGAATTTATGAAGATTAGTTAAAATATTTAGCTGTGTTTTTCTATATAGCCCCATTTAATTTTATATATTTTTAACTTTTATAAAGGCTAAACGAAAATCACACGCATCCATACAAGTCATTATATACCTACCTTGTTATTTTGTTATTATGATGCATTATGCGGAAGGTGCAGGGTACAAGTTTATTTTTAAAGACTATAGCCCAAGATAACTTAACTAGGTAAGTTCTCTCAAATATTATGTTGGTTGTAACATGAAAGTAAAATGATAATATTATAATATCATAAATGTGTAGATATTAGATGTACACAATCTACCAATCACCAATCATTTTATAACCATCATCTGGTATTTTAGTGCAGTGCTTATCAACCTTTTTTGTTACTGAGCCCCCTAAATTTAATGTCAAACTTTAAAATCCCCCTTAACAATTTGATTATAATTTAATATCAGTAATATAACATAAGACTTTATCGACAATGATTATTCATATGGTCGGTTATAATATAATTAAATAACCGAAAATATTTTAAAGGAAATAAATATTTCAAGTTCCCCCTGTCATATAGCCACGGCAACCAGGTTGAAAATATCTGTTTTAGTATATTAAGTTAGTAGTTACAGCACTGTTGATGATAAGTCCCGTGGCGTACATATAAGGAGGAGGGACTGGTGCGCTGCACTTTTATTAAAACAAAATTACAGTCATTACTTAAATAACAACATATTTTATTAGGTACATATGATATTTCGTAGCCTGTTGACAAATGACAAATACAAGTATGAGATGAGATATAATCATTTTTCATTTAGCACAGATTTTGTGAAATTGTGAATATTATGTACTGAATAATAATATTCTGCAGACACTCAGATTGGCAATAATAATATTTTTTTATTTGCAGTTACTGTAAATGCTATTTAAAGGTCGGTTAATTGGTTTATGCTTAATTTGATATTTATTTTTACGTTGATAGCATTTCCTTACCCCTTACTACCATACAATCACATCGACGACTGACCGCCAAGTAGAACAGGCGAACTGATAAATAAAACATAATTTAGTCTCTAGGTGCTAGAACACTTGCTAGTTGCTATCTATGTTAGCCCACTCCAAAAATTATCTCCAAATACGCCACTAGATAAGTTTACCCAAAACTTATAACAAATCGATACAAGAGAAATATTTGGACTAACTACCTATATGGTGCATATTTTGATTAATATTAACGTAAAATAGTTCAAATTCCCTAATCAATATATATTTTAGTACCCACATATTGATAACATTTTGTTTTTGGATTTAAGTTTTTTTATAGTTTGTAAAGAAAATAATAATATTGGAGATGAATAGATGATACTTAATGATATGTTCCATTTCTATATCAAAAATATATTAAGCTCCTATAACCATTAACCATCATATTATGTCAACTAACATAATGAATATATCATTGGTTTTTTGGTTTAAATAATTCAATTATATCTATCTACATTCGTTAATTTTGCATATACAGAAGTTATTGAAAAATGTACACTAAAAACAAGCGAACGTTTTTTCGCAAATAAATATTATATATATATTTAATTGTTGATGACCTACATATTATGTATTAATAATATACTTGTATAACATTTTTTATTACTTAAATAGTTTATTTATTTGTTTTCAAATAATTCAAATTTATAACTTAATAATTAAATCAAAATACACTTAATGGTAAAAAATACTTCACCGTTTGTTTCGAACACAGAAAATGCTTGTAAAATGTACAATAGTTTTAGTCGATATATGAAGAAGATTGCTGTCTCTTACTTTTGCAATTGTACATCTTTTGAATCTTTTGAATATCTTTTCTGCTTAAACCGTCTCTCTGACCCATTGTCACTCCTCGTGTCTAAATATTATAAAAATACTCAGTTAATAAATAATGACTTATAAATTACAATAAAATGTACAAATATATTATATCATAATAAATTCAATAAAATCAATAACCTAAGTGTTTAAACTAACACAAACATTAACATGCCATATACTTTCAATGGCTCAACGTTTAAGAAGTCAAAATTGAATCAGACCTATTATACAAGAATGTAAAGTATCGTATATTTCAAAAAGGAGTAAATAATATTGTATTTTAGACATACAATTGTTTGATATATCCATATTCTATAAGACTGTATTATAACTATGTATGTACATTATAGTATTATACGCATAATAAATATACCTTAGGATCGATAGTCGGCTGACCATTTTTCGAAAAAGCGTTGGCCGAATAGTGCATTACGCTACGGTAGTCGTAGCCTATACCTTGGCTGTCAATCATCGAACTATGAGCTTTTTCAAAATTATTCTCTCTACCTGAAAATTCATTGGAATATTAAAAAAAAAATAGTTAAAATATGACAATCTCAAAGTCGTATTTTATTATTTAGCATTCTAACCCGATTGGATATTGTTGTAGTTGACGGTGACGAACTGATCCCTATCCGGTCTGTTTTGTTCGTGCATGAATCCAGCTGCGTGAAGCATTTCGTGCATTACTGTACCCTTCTTCGTCAGACATCCCGGACTTTGTAGATTCACCTAAACAATTATGATGTTGATAAATTGAAATAGTGTGACATATAATATCATAATATTGTGTGATGGAGTATAATATATATATATATATTAATTATAAGATAACAAGTTATGTATACTTCTTGTCTTCCTCCGATTTTTCCCACTGACGACCAACATCCCGTGTTACCATTAGTGAAGTAAATGTAATCAGTGTCAGAAGAGGTTCTGGGTGTGAATTTTAGACATGTAAGTTTTTTGTATTCATCAATTGAGCTCAATATCAACTGTCTATCGCTTGACCCTAAATTAATCATATAATACACAAATACATTTTGATGCTTTATTGAAATAGCATATTTTTGTATAATGTCTAATAATAGTAATAATACAACAATACACTAGACATTAAACATGCCCATACCATATTATTATGTTGGATATTAAATCGTAAAATAACACCGTTTTTCCCTGGTTATAGATTTAAATTTGTCCGAAAAAAAGGTTGCTAGTTTGAGATTAGGTTCGGAAAATAAAAACGTAGTATTTATTTATTTAATTGTATTTTAGTGAAATACGAACCGGTTGACCCTATTCAAATATATATATTAAAATTAATAACAGACAAACAAAAATTAAAGTATAAATAATAAATTAAAAATAGGTAGGTAATAAATAGAAGTATACCTATATAGGTAATAAGCTCGGCCACTCGGGTATAGTAAGTTTTTCTTCATGATATAATATTATTATAATATTATATAGTTATCACTTTATCAGGTACCATGAAGGTATCCAAATATAAGCATCTTGTTGCATCAAAAATTGAATTAAATTATTTTTATTTTTATTCCGAATATATCAGTATGTCTAGTATAGCTGGTCAGAAATTAAGTGAAATGTTGTACTTATATTTACCTCACACAATTCAAGAACTTCAATTAAGTGAACAAATTTGTAAAGTAAATAAATTTAAATAAAAATAATTAATACTATAGACATCTTGTTGAACTTGCATGATACCCAATACAATTGAAGTTCACTGTATTAATGGGTGTTTTATTCGAACATTTTAAAATATTTTAGAAAAATACCCTCACAAATTATTTAGTTGTATAGTAAAGATTAATTACTCTCATTTAAACAAAAAATAAAATCAATGTCTACAGCCAGCTATATGCACTGGACACATTGACACTACCAATTGGCTATTACATATTATATTACAATATAAATAACAATGGTATATAGTTGAAAAAAAATCATTTTTACGTTAATTTTAGTGCAATTTAATTTATAGTAATTAAGTAATATCATTATATTGATTTTACACTATAAAACATATTATTTATGTAATTATGTGAGTGCAATACGGTTTATATTGCTTTTACCGAAAGCTGGACTGATTTCGTAGGGGATGACGCCTTTAGGCCATCTAGACGATACAGCTTTCAACCCATTCCGGGCATTTCCAATCGGGTGTAATATGTCACCCTCGGCGTACTCGCCCATCTCTTCGGGATTTAATTGACTGGTCTCTTTCCATGTCGACACTGCTTGGCCCGACTTGACGTCCGGAGTACCAAAAATCGCTGCTCCCAAATGCATTAGGCCATTGTACAAGTCTGAATCACTGCTGTTGTCCACTTCGTTCTCTTCCTCTTCTTCGGCCCGCAAATTCACTGGTTGTGCCAACGCCATTGACAAACAAACCGCTACGAACCACAAAAACACTTTCATATCTTTTTTTTTTCCAAATCGACGAAAAAATAAAAATAAAATAATGTTTATCTTGTTTCGCAACGACTTAAACACTACGACGGTCGATGCGAAGTGTTCGAGTTTTTATATACCTAATGTAGAACAGAGTAAATTAGCTTAGATAATATTCACTGGGCCGATTAAGAAAACAAGTCACTGTGTCCAATGTGCTGTAATTTTTTTTTTGTTTAGTATATTTAAAATTCGTACGGAAATTAAGGTGATAACGTGACAAGACGACAAGATATTTTTCGAAAAAACGTACGCCACTTAGCAAATCGTTTAGACCGTTTAGAGGTTTATAATAAAGATCCCTTTATTAAGATAAAATTTCGTTTAATTAGGACGTTTTTGTGTTCGGTGTTTATTCGGTGTTAAAATTTACGACACAAGTGCATAATTACTTACATATAATACAACAGAAACGGAAATAATTCTAAGAATATAGCGTTATAGACTACAGTGTTTTAAAAGAGCTATCTATCTCATATCTATTTACACGGACTACGTGACACAATACAACGACACGAATCATAAAGTATGTAGGTGCCTATACCAATAGTATTTTAATTAATTCAACGACCAGCCAGTGGCCAATGCCTTTAAGTCTTAACTTTTATGTGTAAACTTATTACTCTATGGTATGATTAGAACTAACAATTAACTTACTCGATTACACTATAGTTAGTTGTAAAATAAAAAAATTAATGAATTTTTTTTTTTGTAACTGTATAATGTATATATTATCGGGTCGGGTCAAGTTGTTATTTATTTTATTAGTATGCTGTTTCTTCTCGGTGTTTCTTATGCACAGAAAGGAGTCTCTAGCGTAGGGTTACGATTGTCCCCTTTTTGATTATCATTCGACTCGACAAACATCAAACGAGACGCTTTTTGTCCCGTTTTTATAAGATGGTCTCTTGAAATCCCGTTTTCTTCATATTATTATATGTAAAATAAAATATATTAAGCTTATTCAACATTATTTAAATTGTAAGATAAAAAACGGTTGGGTTTTTTTTTAGAGTATCTACCTAAAACTGTTCGTCACGTTAATTTTTTTATGGTCACCCTACTCTAACAAGACTACGATATACTATCCACAAAAAAGTACTTCAGACAAGTAAAAATGCTTTTCTGTGAGTAAGTTAAAGTGATAGGAAGAAAATATAGAATTTTGAGGTCAATAAGGAAGTGAACTCAATCCCACAGGCCACAATTCTGATACCTGGACTTGAAAAAATATAAATTCACAAAAATGTCAAGATGTTCAACTGTACAAACATTGAGAAAAAAAATAATCACTGCAGAACGGCGTATATGACCTAACCTCAAGAAATTGGCCATAAATCAGAGTTGTCGAATTTTTACGAGTTAATCTGCTTGACTAGAATTTTTATTGACAATCTGTAATTTCCGCTGTTCTGTGCTAATTTTTTTCTAAAACTACTCCTAATTCGGAATTCCTAGTGAAAAACTACCTCCATAGTGAAAACTACATCCAAGGTAAAAAACTACCCCCAAAGGAAAAACTACCGTCAAAGAAAATAATATATCCATGGTCAAAACACTCAAAACTATCTCCAAAGAAAAATTACCTCCAAGGAAAAATACTACCTCCATGGCCAAAAATACTTCCACCTCCATAGGAGAAATACTGTGAACCAATAGTTCGTGGGCGCAAGAAAGCCACCAACGTTAGTGGAAACACTGGAAACCGACGACGGTTAGGTAAGTATACTGCCCTTATAATAATAAAAAGCACGGTCTGACGGAGGAAAAATGAAACTCACAAAACTGCAGTTATTAGCTCTGTCTCTCTCGCAGTCCGTACACAACCAACGCGTGCGAGTGAGACGTCTGAGCGCAGATACAAAACTTAATGTATAATATATATAGCCTAGCTATCGGGTCTGGTCGAATTGTTATTTATTTCACGTGTATGCTGTTTCTTCTCGGCGTTTCTCATGCACGGAAAGGAGTCTCTATTTAGACTCTTCGTTAATATTATATAAAAAAAATTAACTAACCATAGTAATAATTAGTATAGTTACTCTATTAGTGAAATATTATACAAGTCTAAGTAAATGAATACTACATACGCATAATTAAATACTATGTGAATTATAAGTCTATACTATTGATATTAGTGTAGTAATGCATAGTTTACTATTTTATATTATATGTAAGATGACAAATTATAACATTGATAAATCCAATAGAGACAGTATAAGAAGGTTTTATATTAAGTGATTAGTATATTATTCATATTAATTTGAAACAGCTCTAATAAATCAATTTTTGATTATATCAGTAGACAACAACAATAACCAAAGCTTATAGAAAATATCAACTCACATTGTAAATCTGATTCATGATTAGGCCCTTGACCCAGTAATTTTCAAAGGGCCTCATTACCCCAACGTCATTCAAACATAAAACAAGTGGGTTACTGTAATGGATGGTATTACATTTGAATTCAATAATGATTTAATAATATCATCATTGTACACGGAAAGCGATTCTGAGCGGAGACGGTTTATCTCTCTAGGATATTTAATAGTTTTATACTATATGAATTATATTGCTATTATTTTTAAAAAAAAATATAGGTACCTACGTATAAAATAAATTCCAAATTAATCCAATCAGATTAATTATGCACACGACTCACTCAGTCATTCATAGTAGGTATATACAATTTAAAGTATCCACGAATAATTTTTATTTTTGGTTATTTAATAGGTATTTTCATCCTTAATTTGAACTTAAAATAATTATAAAAAACAGTGTTGTATAGTTTTTTGATTTTTTTGCTGCAAAATTAACTACTTGCATTGAGCTTTATTTTTAATTTTCAATCCTTAGCTATTAAAGTTTAACGTTTTACAAATTTTGAACAACCAAAGAGTTTGTAAATTTTCTTAAATAAGATAAATAATCTTCACGGAATAATTTTTTTAATTAATTACATAAATTAGAGATGAAAACGAACAATTTATAACAGTCACAAACTCACAACGACACCACGCATACACTCATCACCGAGGGGATTAGGTGCTAAATGCTAATTGAGACAATAACGTAATCAAAGTGTAATGATTTTTATTATAATTCTATATTTTTTTATTTAATAAAACAAAAAAATGTTGTCTACTTTATAACTTAATTTACAGAGTACTTTAAATCTTGCATWCTTCTTCCAGTCGCCAAAAATCGCAAGGTTGTTGACAGCCTCTCGTGTGGAGTGATAGCAGTTCTCATTACAGTATCCTGTTTTTTTATAAGTGGTGTTACCAAATTTAAAAGTTCGATGTATGTGTCCTCGTCCATACGCAAATAGTTTCGCCAGTCATCTGGTTCTAGGCGTAAATCGTTTAATAAATTTACATGAGAGTAAGTGCTTCGTTTTTGCAACCAAATTTTTACCCATTTTGAGCGCTTGTTTGACTTGTTTGGTTCATACTTCAACTTTGTATAGCACGCAATAGCAGTCGAAATTAAACACAAATCGTCGGACATCATGAAGTCGCCACATCTAACTGATCAACGATACGAATCGTGTGTAGTGAATCACGAGCTGCGACCTGAACACATTTGCTTTAAGTTAAGTTTGAACTAAAGACTGAACGTGTGTACGCAGCTTTAGATTATGAGTGGAGCGATGAATGTATTGATTTTACATCTATAATATATATTATGTTTTTATGATTATTTTTTGTTTTTAGAGTGTAGGTATCTGTTTGCACAATACATAAGACATATTAAATAGTCGTAATATCGTTTCAACTTTCCTAATGAGAAAGGGAATTTGATTGGTGTATTCAAGAAGTTAAAATTGAAAGTTCCCAGTTGTTTTTCAAAGACGTCTAAAATAAACAGGATTTTGTTGGTGTAGGTAAGTCAAAAAAAAAAAAAAAAAAATTGTAGCTAAGTACCTACATATTATATTAGCGTTTTCTATACACATACAATTTAAAAAATATTTTAACTATTTTGAGCCATTAATTTTCGATTTTTATAAAGTTATGATCAAAAAAAAGTAAAAATAAGAAATTGTATAGTATAACAGTTTACCCAATTTTTTTAGTATTGTTCATTACGTTTATATTAATCTAAAGGAGTAAATTAGACAAATACTATAACAATCACGAATGGAAAATAAACTCTATTGTGTGTTAGACATATTTATTGTATGAAATGGTTCGAAAAATGGTTTGTTAGTTTTACTTTTACATGTAACCCGCGTTCATCTTAAGTACCTACTAGAGTGCAGTCTGGTCCTATATAAAAATTGGATTGGCCCAGACCAAATATTTAAAAAAAAATTGTTTAACCGGATCAGACTAATTCATAAAATATATTTTTCAAAACAGACCAATTTGAACCAAGCTAATCAACGTTTTATAAGCCCATACCAGTCCAGATAGGATTTTATATATTTTTTTAAAACCAACCCGCGATCACAAACTGGTTTTTAAACCAGGACTAAGACAAATATGCTCATGTAGAACCAAATCCGAATCGTCTACATAAAACAAATTTATTAGAAATATGTAATTTACCTTCAACGAATGACAATTGTCAATTAAATGAAACAATAATTTTAGTCATCCACATTTCACAGTGTTATCAGTGTATCGCGCTATCGAAAATAAACAATGTTTATTTTCATCATTTCCTGAATATAAATTATTATTATTATTTAATAACCGATAAGGCATGGCGTGTGAAATGACCGTATTTTAAGAAATATGTAACCAATTATATTTATAAATAAACTGTCAAATAATACTATTTTTCCAAAATATGTATATAAATCGATTAAAACTCAAACCAATCATATCCATTTATTCCATTATAATATAAAAAGACTGGACCGGACCATATCCGTTATACTAAAATATATATTAATCACACACTCATTTAAAAGTAGCTGTGCCCAAACCGCACACTTGAGCCAAGAATATAATAGAATTTTGACCAACTTAACCCAGCTCGGGTTGATTATGAAGTACCGACATCACAATATTATCATACGGTAACAGAGT